TGACAATTTTGTTATGATGATCAACAATCCAAAGATCACGTAAACCTCAACAAGCTCTTTCTTCGGGAAGATTTGGGTTACAATAATCTGTTGGGTTCTACTAGGAACGACAACAACATGCACGTTTGAATTTTGAAAAAATAAACACTAACGCAGCGGAATCTATAGTTAAGGTTAGGGTATTACCGTTTAAAAATTTTGCCGACTCAGAGACGTTTCTGATTTCCTTTGATGGAGATCGTCTGATTATCACAACCCAATCGGTGGAAGGGTTTGGCCTTTGTCGACTCTAGTCGAGTGTTGAATCACAAACGGATCGCTGGATCGGGCTCGTAGGGCTCGGGTAGGTTGGATCGGGTTCGAGTTGCAAGGACTCGGGTCGAATCGGGTCAGGACACGTCTCGGTCGGATCGGGTCGGGGACGGTTCGCGGACAGGTGCTGGTCGCGGTCAAGTCGCAGACAGGCGCTGGAAGCTGGTCGCTGGTCGCGGACGGGTCGCTTCGGGTGGCTGGGACGCGCGGGTGGCAGACAGACGCTGNTGCGTTGCTGCTAGAGGCTTGCGCGAGGCCTGGCGGTGTACGACTGCGGGCGATGGCTCGCGGCTGCGTGCGGCTGGGCTCAGGTGACTTTCGGCAGCGATAGGCGGCGGCGGCTATTTCCGGCGGCTGTCGACGGTGGCAGTCAACTGGTGGTGATGGCCGGAAAAAGTAGATCTTCAAGGTTTGAAATAAATCACCTTAAGATCTTCTAACGGATTACCTTAACACCTACTTCGGTTAATTTTGGTGGTGTGATTAATCGAAACTCCCTAACTCTCGACTATATGTTGAACACGATTTTCCTCTCCTTTTAAGACCTTAAAATCAAGCTCTTGCAATAATTGGGAAGAGGTTGGGACATAGTGTATTTATAGGCTCCATTAGGGACCTTAAGAAGGTGCCAAATATGGGCTTATCCCATTAGGCTAAGGAATCCTAATTGTACTCTATATACAAATCCCAATTAGGTCATGGTTCCTTTCTCCTAACATCACCTTCTAGAAGACTCTCAAGTCTCCTAACCCTAGGTGATATTCTAGAAAGAATATTGTTTGTCCCATTTTTGTTATGTTTTTCCTTGTTATTTTTCCATTCTTTTTTTCCCGTTTTAGGTCTTTTTGTTAGTTTTCAATTCGTTTTGTAATTTATTGTGTGTTTTGATCTATTTTGGCTTTTATGTGTTTTTCGTATATTTTGTCGGTTTTCTATGTTTTTCTTCTTTGCTTTTGGTGTACAGGTCAGAAGCCCATGAGGAATAGATTTAGCTTGAAAATGAGCTGGGAAATCATGGTTGGATAGATGGGTTTGTTGGCGACACATAGAAAAAACCGGAACTCGATTTCGAGTTCGAACGAGTTCGGACGGGCCTGATATGTGAAGTCGTGCACGAAAGCCGTCACCTTCAAGTCAAAATCTTTGGGAGTACAGATTTTCAAGAATAAGTTGGATTTGAAAGCATAATTGCATAGAAGGCTTCGTTGGCGACGTGTAGGAAAAGACGGAATCAAATTCTGAGTTCAGACGAATCCAAACGAGCTCGAGAAGCGAAGTCAAGTGAGCAGTCCCGCGCACCGCGCCGCGGCAACCCCTCCGCAGCGCGGCACACCCTTCCACCACGGCGTGAAGCATCATCCGTGGCGCGGCACCGCCTTTCTCCGCGCCGTGGAGCCTCTGCGACCCTGACAGAGACTTCCCAGGCCTCCCAGCACCGCGCCGTGCTACCCTTCTCGCCGCGGCAACCTGCTGCCTCGCGCCGCGGAGCTAATTCTGATTGCTAGGGATAGGGGATGATTATTCTTGTTTGAATTGTACTTGTCGGACTTGATTCGTTCGTGCTTATGTGAGTTAAATAAATTCGGAATTGATATATTCTTGCTTGATTGATTGATATTATCGAAGAGTGACACTTCGATATTGCAATTGGAAACAATTGAATGTTAATTTGTCGAGTTAGGATTTGTTGATTCTATATGATTAGTTGATTAAATACCTTCTAATTGAATTAGAGACTTTTAGAATCGAAAGGAGAGAAGTCGTAGACCTAGGCTCGTATGAGGTAGATGATTTCGTAATTGAATAGTCTATAGGTTTTGGATTGGAATACGTGCTTGTCAATGACCCGTCCCTTGTTACGAAAAGTTATTGGGATTCGATAACTGACCTGTATTGTATGCTCGAGCTTGTTCGTCTATGTTCAATCCCTTGTTACGAAGAATTATTGGGAGCGAACCGCTAGATGTTTAAGCGAGAGTGTCAATCTAGAATAGAATGATTAATGTCCCGGTGTGCAAATAGAACTTGAATTAATTGTTCCCGACTCCCTAGCTTATTCATCTTTATTCGTTTATATTCTTAGGTAGATTATTGTTTTATTTTATTTCTTAGTTAATAATTCATCCAATCTGCTATCTGATTAGAGTGTTTATGATTTATTTTCTTTTTGTGTGAAATCAATGCCGAAGCTAAATTTCCGAACCGTCTTCCTTGTGAGATCGACCCGAGGTCGAGAGTCATCCCGTACTCGGTTAAAATATAATTTGCTACAACAAATATTCTCCTAGTCATGGAATATTTATTTATGGAATAAAATTAATTACTAAATTCCTAATTAGAATTAAATAGTAATATATCCCACTAAAATATTATTATTGCTCTCCCCATTTGGTTCCAATATATTCAATAAATCAAACCTCTAAATGATTGATTAAATAAATAATTAATTAATTAATTAATCCCATTGACCGAATTACCTCTCCCCATGTTTAAGATATAACGTCCGTCAATTAATTTAATTACTGACAATTAAATTAAATTGACTTCTTCATTTCCGAAATTAGTACCACTCAGTTCATTAATCATTATGCCGGATAATTATCCACCTGTAGGGTTTGACATAATATTCATTTCTGAGCTCATTTCAGGGACATCATCAACCCAGCGCACTGGGACACAGTGACTGTAAATAATTTCTAAACGACACACTATATAAATATTCTTACTTACCAAAATAGCGAGTATGTCATCCTAACAGAATAGGAATCGCCCTTGCTAAATCAAATAAATATGTAATAAATATATATGCCCATTTTACATTATCTTACAACTTAAGAGAACGCATCAATAACTGTAGGTCTAGATTATAATAACGATCAATAAATCTTATAATCTTATCCTTCCGCGGTCCGTTCAATACTTATCATAAGTACTAGTGTAATCCATCAGTTAAAGATCAACTGAATCAAGACTACACTACAGTCTTTTTCTAACAGGGGTCTCACTGCCTGTCTAAACTGTGAACAATAAATTTATATTTTACAAGGAACCGATAATATGATCTTTCTGTTCGACACAACGAACCATATTATCTACAGTGTAAAATAATGGAGTTATGATTGCATAAATAAATAAACTGCAAACATAAATATTTTGACTAAAACACGATTGCCAAATCAAAATAGAATTATTAATATCTCAAAGCCAAACTTTTACAACATATCTAACATAATCAGCCTGCCAACTCCAAAGGTAAGAGCATTCAGACTGAATTAGTGGCAGCAGGTAAGTATGATCAACCAGAGGTAAAGAAACAACCCAAGGTATACGTTAAGAACTTTGTGCCGATTTTCCATTACTTAGTCATTGTTGGACACATTCGTCTAAAGTGCTAAAGGATGATGCATGATTTATATGTTGGTTTTGTTGATGCATGGAGTCCAAACTGTGTGTCTGTAAGAATAACAAAAGCAAAAGTTGATTTGAAAAATCATAAACAATAAAAGATTTGGTTTAAAACGAAATATAAAATAACAAATGTTTGTATTCATTGTTGTCCCAAAAATTAGAATTTAAGCAATAATGGTATCTTGATAGTGATTGTTCTGGACACATGACGGAAACTGCTTCTTATTTGACTAATATTACTCATGTGTCTAATAGCATTGTAACTTTCAGTGATGGTGTGTCTAATAATGTTTTAGAATCTAGTTGTTTGAACGGGTCTGCGTTACCAAAACTTGAGAATGTTTTATTGGTTGAAAAATTGAAAGTAAATCTTCTTAGCATAAGTCAACTATGTGATTATAGTTTTTCTGTTAATTTCTCTTTGAATAAATGTGTGAGTGTGTGTGCATATCGTGGGGCTCTCAGGTGTGGATGCAGACGGAGGCTACTGTTCACGGTGGTGGCTGGTAGCTGGTGGTCGGCGGCGAGGTAGGCGGTGGTTGGAGGTGTCTCAACAGTGCGTGCGTGTGAGTATTGTGTGTGTATGTGTGTGTGTGTGTCTGTGTGAGTAGTGTGTGTGTTTGTAAGAGAAAAGATGTGTTGTGTGTGTGTGTGCGTGTGTTGGGCGTGTGTGTGGCGTGTGTATGCGTGTGTTGTGTGTGTGGGGATGATGATGTGGCATGGTGTTGTGGTGATGAGTATAATGGTAATGTTCAAATTATCCTTAATGAAAATATAATTTTGATTTTTTTTAGCCATTAGATCATCTGATCTAATGACTACGGTTTATTCTTATTCGTTTTAATTGAGCACTATTCTCATGGGAGCACGACCAATAATATTATATATATAAAATAATATATATTTATATTATATTATGTTATATATATATATATATTAAAATATCCAGTTCAGTCGATTTGACCAAACCGCCCGAAACTGACCAAGAAGTTTGGTCGGTTGATGTTCGGTTTAAATTGATAATTCGGTCGATTTCATTTATTGGCATAGTATGATTTAGTTATTTCGGTTTTCTTAATTCGGTACGGTCGACCAATGCATAACTCTACTTACGCTACGCAGGCACTTGGCATTATGTGACTACCCTGTTTTCATCTCAAATGTAGGGTCCAGAAAAAAGATTTGGTGATGTACTGGCTGATAGCTGCCTTAAAATCATCTGGGCATAGGCCTGGAAATGTCAAGCCAGACAGATACCTAGAGTTGGCAAATGATTGCGCAGCACATGGCAAATAAGATTCAGATTCCTCATATTTACCCAGATTGGACAAGCTCACAACATATAAAACGAAATAACAGTGTAACATTTAAGAATAATACTACCACTTGAAAAAAGTACAACTGTGACAAGATTATGCATAAAATACATAATCACTGCTCAAATTATTACCACAGTATCATGTAAAAGACTTGAACACAATTCCTGTGCAGATAACCATCGCACAATCAGGTTCATCAAAATCTAATTAGTGAGCTCGAGTTTCTTTATATTCTGAATTTGTTTTCCTGGGTTTAGTCCCTTAGGGCATGCTTTAGCACAATTCAAAATGGTGTGGCAACGATACAGCTTGAACTCATCATTTACAGCCTCAAGACGCTCCTTTGTGTACTCATCACGACTGTCCATTATCCACCTTCATTGAAAAACAGAAACAATGTTTAGCATGATTATATATAATAATATACATCGCTATGTCTTTGTCTTGTCGATCAATATCAGAATGTTTGAACAATTTGGCTGTGACTGATGTTAAATTCCTAAACACTAACCAGAATAACTGATAAATGTGCATATATGTAAAATCTTCAAGGAGGCAAAAGCAAAATCTATAGGGTAGGCAAGAGGGGGATTCAAACATTTAATATTTTCCATACAATCATTGTTGCAATATTCAAGCGAACGTAGTTTCATGCCAAAACACATTTTCGTATGAACAGTATGCACATGCTAAGGATTTTCAAGTTCAAGAATATTCAAGAGTGCACAACAAGTTAGTGCTCCTGATTTTCCAAGACAGGACACAAACAGTTAGAACCTCCAAGCTCACAACATTAGAAAACATGGCTCAAAGCTAGTTTCAGTAACTTCTATTTGCATACCAAGGCTACTATATCACCATTTTACGAAGGATTAGGGAGAAGATAGGCAATCATGCTAATATAAATACAATGTACTCACTCTGTTTTTAAAGAATTGTCATTCTAGAGAACATCAGAAACAACAGTTCAAACTCTTGTCCTACTCTATCAAGTCGCCATGAATCATACCTTCCTAATAAGCTTAAAAGAGTCAAATGTTTACTTTAATTAAAATTAAGAGTTTTCTTCATGATTCCTTACATGAATATAATAGACATAGTATAAAACCACATATGATTATCAACGAAAAATCCAACCGACAGAGATTTAAACTAAGCGGATGGACTGCATATATTATATGCATTATCCTAATTCCTACTGATCAAATTTATCCAACATCATTAAATAACTTATCAGGAACTCCATAATATACTGAAGGCATATTATAACATTAATGACAAGCAGATGCAAACAAAAAAAGCACCAGACTGGAATTAGCTATACGAAAACCATTTCCAATGTTAGGTCAAGGTATTAGGTGATGTAGAACAGAGTTACTAATCATAATCCTCATCAATTTATGCAGTCGATGCAAATAAAAAGAAAGAAGCAAGCTTGAAGCAGTTAACAAAAGAATCACTAAACGAGACACAAACTAGTCTGAATCACAGCCAAACAGGCCTAGCAAAATGAAGAATCATAATGATACTATATATCAAATCTCTTGTCACACATTTCACAAAAAGATATGTGAAGATTCAATTCTCATCCTCATTCTATCTAAGAATCATATGAGGTGAGGGCTTACGTATTAAATTATCCCATATTTCCATCAATTCCCCACATTTTACCCCATCACACAATTCCCATAAAAATAAACAAAATCAAGAAGCAACAGAAGGTGAAAGTAAACGGGAAGATTATACCTATTGGCGTGCAAAAGCGCAGCCGGACCCAAATAAGACTCCGGGTTCCACCAGTAGCTGGGGCAGGATGTGCTGCAGCAGGCGCACAGAATGCACTCGTACATCCCATCCAGCTTCTTCCTATCCTCCTTGCTCTGCAGAACCTCTTTCCCCGGATTCTCCGGAGGATTCTTCCTCTTAAGCCACGGCTCGATGGATTTGTACTGGTTGTAGAAATTGGTCATGTCCACCACCAGATCCTTAATCACGAACATGTGCGGCAGCGGCGTGATCATCGTGGCCCCGCCGGAATCTATCTTCGTCAGGCAGGCCAATCCGTTCCGACCGTCGATGTTCATCGCGCACGAGCCGCAGATCCCCTCGCGGCACGAGCGACGGAAGGTCAAGGTCGGGTCGATCTCGTTCTTGATCTTGATGAGGGCGTCGAGGACCATGGGACCGCAGTCCTTGAGGTCGATCTCGTAGTTCTGGAGCTCCGGCTTCTGCGGCGAATCGGGGTTCCATCGGTAGATTTGGAAGGTCTTGGGGGTGGAGCTGGGCTTCGCCTTGGGCTCGACCTGCTGGGCCTGGGCCTCCGAGGTATGAGCGCGGCAGATAATAGCCCTCGCCGACGGTGATACGGCCGAAATCCTAGATATCGTTCGTCGGACCAGCCCAGTCGCCATTGATGTGAATTCTGAACAGAGATAGATAATGCTGCGCTTTTTTTTTTTCTAGAAGAGAGTGGGAACGAAAATAATGATGGGAAATCTGGGCGTGTGTATCGCTCACTATTCTTGGTTTGGTTGGTAATGAAGAATGACGGAAATGGGTTCGGGTACAACTACTGATTTCTGAAGCGGTGGAGGCGATTGGTAAGGGTATTTTGGAGAATCAAAGAAAGGAGGTATCGTGGATGCTATGACTGGGCAGGTGACGTGGCAGTAAATGAGCGGTGGAGATGGGAATGAGACGACGTGTTTGTTTGTATTGTTTCTGGATTTTGTGTAAAAGATACGTGAAGCGTCGCCGTTAGGCGGATGGTAGGGATGCTTGGATAAAAGATTTTTTTTTTTGTTTTATTTAAATTTTTTAATTTTGTTTGGTGAATTTTGAAAAATATAGTATGTTTAAGTTTTAGTGAAATTTTGAGTTTATATTATAATAATATTGAAAATAAAAGAATTTAAGTTGATTTGATTTAAAAGTTGATTACATTTGATATTGTCAATTTAATATTTGTTATTTTTCATTTTACGTTTATCTTAAGTGGTGAAATTTCAGTATGATTATCCTAGAAACCGGATAGGTAGCTGTGTAACCATTGATTAGATTGAGCACAAAATTTAGAGATTACATGATCGTTCAAACATTGAGATCGTTCTGAAAATCAAATAGAATTAATTTCGAATGAAAAAATTTATAAAACAGATGCAAACAATCACTCACTTTTTTGAGATACATTTAATATTTGAAATTAATTTATATTTAATATTCTTAAGAGGTGATTAAAAAATTTAAATTATAAAATCTCATTAATATATTTTTTCACATTAATTTGATATAATTTATAAAATAAATTATATCTTTAAAATTTAAGTGGATAAGTGAATGAGAAATTTAAATTAGGGAATACTTTTAAATTTGTGTATGATCTCAAAAAAATAGACATACCAATATTTTGTGTGTATACTTTGAATGATACGTACAAAATCACCTTAAAATCAATAATAAAGATACGTACAAAATCACATTAAATTAATACTCCCTCCGTTTCTTATTAAATGTCGTTTTAATTTAAAACTTCTAAATTACGATTTTAATGGGTTGTGTAATAATCTTATCTTTTAATCTTATTAAATTCAGATCTTTTTGAATCTCGAAGATCATCGCCTTCCTCAAAACCTAATCCCCAAATCCATCCGCCCGCGTCTTCCTCAATCGTCTCGTCGATCGGCCTTCCCCGGTGATTTCTATACTCGGCCAATGGTCGTCTTCAACTACTCGCTCCATTCATGACTGGCGCTTCCCCGGTGTTGCTGTGGATTGCCGGAGATGGGGGGTCGGACTTAGGTTGCAGAAGGTCGGAGGTTGGCCGGCGTTTCAATCGCCGGCAGATCCTCGGGTGGAAGTCGTCGCCCTTGCGTTTACCTTCTGATCTGCAGACTGAGGGCTCATCTCGAATGGCTTCGCCTTTTCCGGTGGAGCTTCGAGTGGCGGTTGACTTCCGGATGCCGGCGGTTTATGGTGGTAAGGTGAGATGTGTGGGTATGATGTGGTGGTGTGGGACTTTGGCAGCGGCGTGGAGGGGCGGGCCTTTGGCTGAGCCTTCGTCGGTTTGCCGGAGTTGAGGTAATGCGACTCCCTATTCCTCCTCTGTCATCTAGTGGTGTTAGGCGGCAGGGATCTGGCTTTCCTGAGCTCGGCTAGTGGTGGTAGACGGGTTCGAGTGGGGCTGGGGGGAGGGTTGTTTTCTCTTGGTTGGAGACGGGCTGATTCGGGAATGTCTCGGGGATTGAGTTCACCTGCTGTATAGGCGGTCGTGCAGTTTCGGTAGCGGTTTGTTGTGACCATTTTTGTTGTATTTTTCGTTATTGTTCTATCATTATTCTTCCCCCGTTTTAGGTCCTTTAGTGAGTTTTTCTTCCGTTTTGTGTTTTATTATGTGTTTTGTTCTATTTTGGTTTTCCTTGTGTTTTTCGTGTGTTTTTCCGGTTTTTCTTCGTTTTAGTGTGCAGGTCGGAAGCCCCGTGAGGAATCGATTTAGTTCGAAAATGGGCCGGGAAATCATGGCTGGATAGATGCTTTCGTTAGCTACGCGTAGGAAAAAACGGAACTCAATTCCGACTTCAAAAGAGCCCGAACGAGCCCGAAACGTGAAGCTGCGCACAACAGGATTTTCTCCTCGGAACAGCAGCTGGAAGTCGCGGCCGCGAGACGAGTCGCGGCCGCGGAGGGCCAAGTCGCGGCCGCGAGATGTTCTTCGCCGCGGCCGCGGAGAACAACTTCGGCCAAGTCTCCCAAGTTTCTGCACCAAAATGTCGCGGCCGCGGGATCAAGTCGCGGCCGCGGAAGTCCGAGTCGCGGCCGCGAGATGGCAAGTCGCGGCCGCGAGATTTGAAAATTCCAGTTTTTTTTAAATGGGACATTTAGCTCGGAAATGGGGACTAGTGGCCTTAAAACCGGGAGCTTTTGTGGCTAATGGGGGTGAGATCATAGGAAAGGGGAAAAGGGTGTCTTTTGGTCCCTTGGAAAGGTCCAAAGACCATATATCATCCCCATTATCATCCATTATTCATCACCATCTTCACCTCTCCATCTTCTTCCTCCTTCTTCTCTTCTTCTTTTCTTTTTCTTTTTGTACAGCTTTTCTTTTTATTTTTCTTTGTATTGTGTTTGCATTTTGGGGTGAAGCTTGCATTGTGGATTCAACACTTGGCTTTGGATTGATTGTAAGTTTTTCTTCTTGTTTAATTCATGAAAATGGTTGAATTTGAAGAAACGAATTGTTGTGTTGAATTTATTGTATGTAGCTAATCCTATAGCTAGGGATAGGAGATAATCATTCCGGTTTAAGCTCGTTTATGTGTAAGACGATAGCTCAATCTTGACGAGTTGTTCTAATTATGAATTGATAAATTTAACTTGGTAAATGTTTATAACCTAAGAGTGACACTTAGGTTAATTTGTTGAAAAATCAAAGAGTGACACTTTGATTTGTGTTTGAACATGAATTTGTTAAGTTTAAATTTGTTAATTCTTTGAATTGCGACTTTTAGAACCGAAAGGGGAGGAGTCGTAGGAATAATCGATTTCATAACCGAGAGGAGAGATATTGATAGAATTTGGCTCGTTTAGAGTAGGCATACCCGGAAACGTATTGTCTATGTGTTGATTGTCTCGTTTAATTGCTCGTTTATGATTTCTCTATCTACCGCGAAATGCTATGATGGTTGAGTCGTTAAACGAGTGGATGAGTCGAGGCCGTTAACCGAGTTATTGATTGCCATTAAACGAGTGTAGAACCGGAAGCGATTATTCCCGATTCCCTAGCATATTTAACTTTTCGTCGTTTATATTTTTAGGTAGATTTATGTTTATGTTATTCATTAGGTAATAATTAAAAACCCAATCTTTTGATTAGAATGTTTAGGATTTGTTTTCATTTTATGTGTTATCGACACCAATACTAAATTCCGAAGAGCCTTCCTCGAGAGATCGACCCGGGAAACGAATCATTCGGTTCGGTGCTTGGTAAAATAAAAATAATTTGTGCTACAACAAATTTGGCGCCGTTGCCGGGGAAGACGAGTAGGATATTTAGTTTTGGTGTTTGATTTTATTTTCCGTGTTTCTCTTGTTCTTGTGATATTTGTTTAATTTTAGTGTTTCTCTTGATTTGTTATTTTCCATTTCTCTTGTTTTTATTTTGTTTGAAAATAAAAAAAATAAAAAAAAAAAAAAAAAAATTCTTGGTCTCGTGTGCCTTTGGTTGTTTTGTTTTTGTGCGAGGTATTTGCTTGAGGAATTCCGATGAATCCATACAACTATTCTTATGCCGGAAGCTCGTCTCGTGGATACCCCGACAACTACCAAGGAGAGATGTATTCGTATGGAGGGCCGCCCTATCCGTATCCGAGCTATTCAAATTCCTATTGCTATGACGGATACTCTACATCCCAAGGGTATGACCCGAGCCATTCTTACCCGACATCTCAAGGCGGATATAATTCTTACATTCCGAATCACTACGAGACGCCTTACTACCAACCTTCATCTCCCAACTATCACCAAGAGGTTTTGACGAGCACTCAAGAGATACTTGCAAGCCTCCGATCAATCGTAGAGGAGTTTCACAATTGGGGGATCATTCCCGTTCCATCCGTACTTCAAACTCAACTCACGAAGTTCGACTCCACCGTAGTTGCTTTCCTCGACTTAGACACATCTTATATTCCGCTCGGTAGATATTCCTCTCTATCGGCAAAAGTGTGTCGAGAAAGTGCACGGTTAGAGGGCGAATTTCGAGCTATGGTGGAACAATTTGCTTCTCTCAAAGAGGCGGGCCTCACTCTCGTTTATGATGGATCACAATCTCTCGACACGAGTGAGGACATCGGCGATTTGTATGTTAGAAGACTCTCCTCCCATGACGATTTGGGGTTGCAAACCACGTCAAACCTACATTTTGGTGATTGCGCGATTGCCATCGATGAGAGCGAGTGTGTGGATTCGGAGGACGATACGGTGCACGGTGTGGGAAATAATTCATTGGAGGACCCGATTGTGCCGAGTGAAGTTGAAGGGGCTCGAGATGATGATCGTGAGGAGAAGGTAGTTCATGATGTCGTGGACGAGGTCGAGGCGGACGTCGAGTCATTATTTGAGGTCATTGACCCGAAGTATGCATTGATGAATGACTCGACTCATGATGTTGAGTACACGTCCGAGATGACATTGGTGACGATGGGGATCGATTCGACATGCTCCACGGATATGTTCATATTTTCGGAAGTCGATCATGGGGCTTGGATTCGTAATGCTTTATCTCTCCTCTTGGTAGTTGTTGATGTCCGTGCTCGGCATCATAAGAACGTGGCCACGAGGGTTCTACTCTTTGCCCGCCTTTGTTCCGAGCTTCCATCGGGACTATTGTTGGAGAATACAAAGGCGTGGCATGATCGACACTTCTTCTTGGACCCCGGTTGATCTCGGTCCAGGTTTCGTCAAGCTAATGACGTTAAATAAGCGCTTCTTGGGAGGCAACCCAAGTGATTTATTGCTTTCTTGTGTGTTTTGTTTTATTTTTATTTTTATTTTATTTTTGAATAATTGGAGTTTTGGAGTTTTTTGT